GGGGCCGCCGTGCGGGCGGGAGCAGCGACCCGCGGGTCCGCATGAACGGGGCTCGGTGCCCTCCTGACCCACCTCCTTCACGTGTAGGGGTACCGGCCGTAAGGTGCTGAAGCTTGTCCCTTCGAGTAAGCTATTTAGTTATGAAACGAATGATTAATGAAGTTCATCCAGTAATAACGGATGGTAATACGTAATAATGATTTCGCTCGTTAAAGAATTGGAAAATTAGAAAGAAATTAAACTGTGGTCTGAGGTAGAGGAGCATACTGAGGATGGCAAGCAGTCTGAGTTTCCTCAAGACTGCCTTACAGCTGAAGTCTTTGCTGGGAGAGGGACTTGCTGTTTATTTTATGAGGTTTTTAATTTCTGAGTAATTTCCATTTTGATTTCTTCAGCCAAGAAAATTTAGTTTTATCAGATGTCTCGCTTCTTTGCACCAGCACCCTCCTGCAAATACCATTCAACAGAAGTATCTGAGTGTTTCTGACAGCAAATAAAATTCTGATGACTTTTGAACAGTCAGAGAATTACTATTTTCCTCTTCTTTTCCAGCCTATGCTCAGATCCATTTTTTTTTTCTTTCCTCTTGGTATATTTTACTCTTTAGGAAGATAGCATTGAGTAACCCACTGACCAGCTTTGGGCCTCTGCTATCCCTGGCACCACACCATGGACTCCTCTCCATTCTCAACCTCCCATCCTGGGAGTGGAACTGCTGGGGACAGCATGCACAAGAGCAAGCAGTGACTTGCTCTGTGGTGTAACCTGCCTTCACACAGGCAGACAGGGAGGAGGAAAATTGCAGAGGTGTGTGGTTATGATCCCACAGTTGCAGTCAGCTCCTGGCATGAGCTGCAAATATGTATATACAAGGAAAAGCAGGAAGAAAGACATGGATAGCAACATTGCTAGAAAGCAGAATAGCTTTTTTATGTCTATTAACTTGAGTAAAAAAAAGTTGCACCATTGTTCCACTTTTATTCCTCAAACATCAGCAGTTGTGTTCTCTCTCTGGGCAAAACATGTCTTTAATGACAAGAAGTAACTAGTACAAACTTCAGTCTTAAGAGGCTTAAAGCATCAAACAATGCCTGGATCTTCATCTGCAGAGCATTTTAAAGAACAGTTCTGTGCTTTCACATCCTCAAATGAGACAATGCACTGAAGCCCTCCATATGCAGGAGCAGGCGCTAAGACCAACTGTACAGTGATGGAAGGACATAAAAATTTTAAGAAACATAGATTACTAGAATATGAAGATATGAAATGCTGTAATATTGTAGCATAAAGTTCCTGATAAAACATGCACAGCATGACAAATCTCTTCATGCAGAACAGTCCTCATACCGGTGATACGTCCCAGTCTTCTCGCACATTTAAAACATTCAATAATGCCTTATTTTCTGGGGGAAATTTTAGAGAAAGAGGCTCATTCATGTTAATGTAGCCTGATTTTCTAAAATCAATGTGTGAACTCAACCATCAAGACAGAATATGTAACTGACTAAAATCCCTTCCAAATGTGGCCGTTTTGTCATGGCCCATTTTTAGATGAGTTACATTTACGACAAACAAATTTATCCTCGGTTTCTGTTGTAGCCTTCTCTCGTGTGGATGCATTATGCTAGAAACTGCTGCACAGGCAAGTTCAGATCTAATTATAAAACCCTCTTAGAGATGCTTTGGTGCTTCAGCGTGTTGTGAAAGAAAATAATACAGAGCTGCTGTGAGTCTCTTCACAATCCCCAGCTTTTGGCTCTTTAAAGCACTTAAACATGCAGTGGGGCAATCTCCCTTGAGTGTGCAAAGTAATTTACAGCAGAGAGAAAGCATTTTAAGATCCTTTCAGCTGCAGGTTAGGAAATAACAGTCTTGCAGGGACATGCCTTAACATTTCCACATAGTGGAGGCTGGCAAAATTAAATGCTTCCTGTAATTCTGAAACACTTAATAGGGGTGAGGGAGAGATTGATAACTTGTTACACAACTTTCCTGATGAAGCGATGACCTATTTTAGATTAATCTTTTCTGTTAAGCGTTGTGGAAGCTCGGCAACCAGCTGGAAGCAGGTATTCATTCTCACTGCTGCTAATCCACAGAGAAATGGGTGTATCCCCAAAGTAAACATTACTCTGTCACCTGCCAATCATGACACATTGCCAAAATTTAAACAATTTTTTTTGTATATATCTTTTATATTTCCAAATATCCCTAATGCAATTTCATTGCTGTCTTGAAAATGATGCAGAGAGCAATGAATTATTCAGCTTTCAGTCCTGTGTTAGCAAAGAAGACCTGGAAACCTTTGGATATCTCTGCAGTTTGAGGCAGCAAAGGCCACTGAGGAAAATATGCCCTTTCCCAACAAATTTCTAATTTTTTCTCAACTGACAAAGTTCACAGAGTGTTACCAGTAGTCAATTCTTGCCATACCAAAATGCATCTTTTATCTACGGTAAATGGCAGAAAACAACACTGATTTGCTGTCTCCGTGAAACAATGTGGATGAATGTGTGTGAATTACATAATCAGACCTTTTTTTTACTGTTTCTGTGTCAGCTGTTGTGGCATTTCTGCATTTTCTTCTTTTAGACAATAAAAAGTTGAAACAATGTTCCTCTTAAAAACTATTCTGACCTTACTTTTATGCTCTAATCCTTTTTCATTCTGCCTTGCACCTGGCAATCCACTACAAGCTACTGAGAAACTTCTATAAAAACTGCATATGCTTTATGATGCTAATCACTGTTTTTACTAACCATGCAAAATTATTCATCCATCACTTCTGGAAAGTGCTAGGCCACTTCTTTTAAGGGGCTATATTTGAACTCATTGCTGGGATATAACTAGCACAGCCACCATCATGATCACAATCCAGATAGGGATGTTACCCAATCAACTAAAAATAAATCAGTGGCTAAATAGCCATAAAACAGTGTTGCACTGCTCTGCCTCCCCGTAATATGTCCCAGAGACCCCAGATACTGTGTGCTGGCCATATAGCTAAACTATATGTTTGGATAAGAGGCATGGGTCAAAATAACCTTTAGACAAGAAGAAGCGTATAAGTTAACTCCTTTGAGGACACAGACTACCATTACAATATATTTAGACATATCTGTTTCCATTTCACCCAGTGACTAAAGTTATTTCTACCTAAAGTACTTAAAAATCATGCATGAATATTAATTACTTTTGCTTGATCTAAAACACGAGCTCATTTAGGGGAACAAAACATCCTTCATCAAAGACAGCCCAGATTCAGTCATACACAAACCACTTTAAGGAAGTGAGCATTCACAGTGCTCCTCTCGTCTTCCCCCAGTGCTTTTCCTGCTGCTAGGCAGGTTTTCAGCTTTCAGGCAATAGCCTAACAGGCTAGTGAGGCTCCTTCCTTGCTTTTTGAGGAAACCTCCCACTTCACTTCCCAGCAACTTTCACCTACTGCACTCCTGGAGCTCAAGAGAAGCCAGTTTCCTTCTCCATTCCCAGGAGGCAGCTCCAGCTGAAGCCCTGTTTCTCCCACAGCCCCAGCCACATCTAGCACACCCTTTCCCTGTCCCACAGAGTCCTGTTGGCCTCTCCTGCTCGCCAGCAACTCAGTTGGGATAAACTTTCCCAGCAAATACCAATACAGAGCTCACCTAGAAACCTCCACCCTCTGCAAGAAGCAACTGGCTTCTTACCTCCTCTCAACCCCCCAGCCCTCATCCTGTTCTCCTCTGACCTTTGCAACACACATACCTCTGCTCAGGTAGGGTAACAAACTGCTGTTTACACAGGGTTTCAAGAATCTCTACAAAAGGTTGCATACAGTTTTGTTACCTAAGCCACAACTCTAAAAAAGACCTAGAAGTTTGGGGTATTGTCATGTCTCAACAGGTGAACTCCCCAATGTTAAGTCATACCATTATTTTTCTTTCAGTTGTGAAACACAGTGCAAGCTTACAACAACACAAAAGAGCATACATTTAAGGTTTGGAGCATAACTTCATAGTTACTTTTTCTTAAAAGACTAAAGCTGAGATCCGTCTGATCAAATGAACATCTCTTCATCTCATGAGGCATGGGGGCTGCATTCCCTTTCCAAGCAATGGAGAGAAAGAGGTTATTCTAGAGAGAAGTCATCTCCTTCTGAACCAGACTTCCAAATCTGGTGAGGTAAATTCCACCCCATGTTTCTTCAAACTGAATTTATGCTGACATAGAGGTCTAATCAGCAGTTACATTGTGTATTGTTGCTCTGTACAAGTCTGACTGAGCTGTCTCCTCACCCAATGAGCTGCATCTTAAATAAGAGGTGTCAGGCCATGGTAGGTCCACCTTCTTTGCAGCTCAGCTGGAGTCCTGACACCTCATCACTGCCAACTGCTGGTGACCTCCAGACCAGCTCCCAGACCACACAGATCAGCTCCTCCACTGTCCTCTCTCTGATAATGGCTAGTGATGGACATGGCATAGGACAATGGACAAGCCCACAGCAGAAAGACAGGACATATTTACTCCAACATCAAAACATTATGAGTTACAGCTAACCAGAGGCCCTCAGAAGAAGTCTCACTATCCTTTTTAAAACATTCATTCACTTTTAAAAATATGGATGTTCCTGCCAGCCATTCAGTGCTTTTTAATATTGCTGAATTCTTTAATCAGATGGTTTCCAGACCTGCTGTCCAATGTCTGTGAAGGTATTTCATTAAAATTGATTTCAGTTTTTTGAACTGAAAGCCTATTTGTCACAGAACCTGTCCTCCAGGTGTACCTGATGGAATATAGTCACATTCACTCTCGAGCAAGGTGGCTGCCTAAGCTGTGAGAAGACAGCAACTGAGAGAAATTCATGAGTAGGTACGAGGAAAGGCTTGTGTATCT